GTCTCTCTCCATGGAAGGAAGGCGGGCCGGGAAGGAGAGTGGCGTGGCACATGGCCCCCCTGGGGACTGGGGGGCAGCTCGAGAGGGACTCCGATGTGCACCCCCCACCACCACCACACACACACACAGGCACACCCTTGCCCCCCAGGCTCACCTTGAAGTTCTCGGGGTCGACGTGCAGCTTGTCGCAGTGCAGCTCGCTCAGGCTGGCGAAGGTCTTCTTGATGCTGTCGAGGTTCTTGATGGCCTCCCCGAAGGAGGTGAGCACCTTCTTGCCGTGGGCGCGCACCTTGGGGTTGCCGCAGATGGCGGTGGCGCTGGACAGGTTCCCAAAGTCGGCGAAGAACCTCTGGGTCCAGGGGTACACCACCAGCAGGCTGCGGGGAGGAGGAGGAGACAGAGAGACAGACAGACAGACACAGGCACAGACACCGAGGGTTAGTCCGGTGACCCAGGGAGGCCAGCCTCCAGAAATGACAGCACCTCTCCAGACCGCAGAGGTCAGTTCCCCCTGGAGGAAAAGGCTGCTTGGCAGGGTGGGCTCTAGGGCATTGAACCCCCCCCTTGAGGTCCCTCAAGGCTCCCCCCCTCTCTCACACACACACGCACACATAGACCCCCCCAGGCGCCCCAAGGGGCCTTACCAGCCAAGGGATTCCGCGCCGATTTCCGCCAGATCGACTTTGGACCAGATGCTGGTGATGATCTGCTTCTCTTCGTCGGTCCAGTGCACCATGGTTGCCGGCTGGGGGTCAGTCAGGAGTTCTCCTTTGCAGCTCTGGGAAAGTCTCTGGAGCTGGGCTGAGGGTGCCTCCCGGGGACTTTTATACCCTGGACTGAAGCTCCGCCTGGCAGGGGCGGGTCCCCTCATTGGCTGGAGCCAAGGCTGGGGCGGAGCTTGGTGGGGCCAGGCGGGCCAGAGAGGGGAGGCCGCTCGGCTGCCGCTCAGAGCCCTCTGGGCTTCAGCCAAAGTGGGGCGTTTCCTCAGCCAGGCGCTTTGTACATGCACAGGCGCACTCTGCTCGTTTTACTTGGCAACGGCCTCCGAAAATGGTTGGGAGCAGTGTTCCCTCTAAGCTGAGTGAGTGTGAGCTAGCTGACAGTTTTTTAGCCTCCAGCGCACACATTTTTGCCTTTGCTCAGGAAGGATGGCTCCAGAGCACACTAATTTGTGCAGTAGCCAAATTGCTCGCTCAACCCTTTAATGCCAGTCGCTTGCAAAGTAGAATTTTTGCTCACAGGACTCCACAGCTTAGAGGGAACATTGGTTGGGAGAGCAGAGAAGTTGGGGCTGAGCCTCTCAGCCAGGTACGCCAGGGAGGGGAGGGTGTTCCAAGGGCTGCTGGGCTCCAGGTGGGGCCGGGAGATGTCCCAGGGTGACACCCGGTCTCCGGACCTGGGAGGAAACGGCTGCTAAGGAGGGTGGGCTCCGGTGTTCCCTCTAAGCTGAATGAGTGCGAGCCAGCGGACAGTTTTTTAGCCTCCGGCTCACACATTTCTGTCTCGGCTCAGGAAGGAGGGCTCCAGAAGAGCAAACTGATTGATGCAGCGGCCAAATCGCTCGCTCACAACTTTAATGCCAGTAGCTCACAAAGTAGAATTCTCACAAGACTCCATAGCTTAGAGGGAGCATTAGTGGACTCTATGGCCTTGTGCCCTACTGGGGTACCTCACCTCCCCATGTTCCACAGTCAAATCTCCGGGAATTTCCCAGCGCTGCATTGGCATCATAAGGCCCCTCCAGTCCAACACTCTGTGTCACACGGTGGCCATCAGGAGGTCCACCAGAAGCTCCTACCACTGTTGCCCCCCCCCAGCACTAAGAATGCAGAGCATCACTTGCCCCAGACCGAGAGTTCCTCTCTGTACCTTGTGGCTAATAGTCACCGATGGACCTCTGCTCCATATAAGAACATGAGAGAAGCCAATGTTGGATCAGGCCAATGACCTATCCAGTCCAACACTCTGAGTCACACAGTGGCCAAAAATACCAGCGGCCATCAGGAGGTCCAGCAGTGGGGCCAGGACACCAGAAGCCCCTCCCACTGTTGACACCCCCCCAGGCACCAAGATGACAGAGCATCATCTGCTCCAGAGCCCCTATCTATACCTTGTGGCTAATAGCCACTGATGGACCTCTGCTCCAGATGCTTATCTAATTCTCTCTTGAAGCCGTCCATGCTTGTAGCCGCCACCACTTCCAGCCTCATAAGAACATACGAACATAAGAGAGAAGCCAGTGTTGGATCAGGCCAAAGGCCCATCCAGGCCAACACTCTGTCTGTCACACAGTGGCCAGAAATACCAGGTGCCATCAGGAGGTCCACCAGTGGGGCCAGGACATTAGTAGCCCTCCCACTGTTACCCCCCCCAAGCACCGAGAAGACAGAGCATTCCTTGCCCCAGACATAAGAACATAAGAGAGAAGCCAGTGTAGGGTCAGGCCAGTGGCCCATCCAG